TGTTAAAATATTGATCTGAGTAAAATGATGAATTTTGCTGGCTGTAGTCCATTAGGACCAGCGATAAAGTGTTATGGCTAATCATTGTAGTTATCTGTGTTGTATATTATAATGAGTCAGAGCCTTGAAGTTGAAATCTTTATTTGAAGAGACAGTTACTTAGTGTTAAACTACTACCAGAAATTATCTTCTCATTGTCTGCTCTCTAAACCTGGATGTTAGCTGTAAAGGAGCAGTTTCTGTCTGCAATCCATTCAGCAAAAGTTTATGTCACTTCTTAGTTGAAGTCAGTTGCAGGAAAAACAAGCTGTTGCATCTCCTCCCACAAACTGTAATGTGGAAAAGGTGAGAAGAGCAGCAGGAGCAGAAATGCTTCCAGCTGCCCTTTAGGAAGGGATACTAGCAGGAGGCCAGGGCTGTGCGTGGCGTTTACGTGCCCATCCAAAGAGTCATTCCTGTCATCCGCACAGCCCCGTCTGTGGCAGAAAGGAAGTGACGGTGCAGTTGTGGATTGTGGAGGAGGATTTCGGGCGAGCACTCCTGCTCCCCAGGATGCCTGCAGCTCCCCGGCCAGCTCTTCTTATGTGTGGGTAGTGCTGCAGCAGCCCGCGGTGCCGGCTCGGACGAGGGTTACCCTGGGCTTCGCAGCGCTCTGCTTTAATACATCCCGCAAAAGCTTCATGAAAGGAGTGACTTAAGAAAGTCAGCCTTCAGAAGGAATGTGGTTTTGCCCCTCCATCGCTGGAGTATTGCATGGGAGTTAATAGCCAAAGGGTTTTTTGGGGGCTGACTCTGCCCTTTTAGGAGGTTTGTACTCCTCTCCAATTGGTAATGGTAAAAGAGGCATTTTGGAGAAAGCCAAGATACGAGACCTCTAGCAAATAGGAGACCTGAGGGCTGCTTTGATGTGTCCCACACGCTAGCCAGGCAATTTATCTCCATAGAGAGCATGTGGATCAAGCTGGATTTATTTCCACCATTAATTCCTTTCTACCTTTATTCATTGAGCAAATTCATTTAAAGTTTTTCTAGCTGTAGGAAGTAAAAAAAAAAAAAAACAACAACCCAGCAACTGTGAACAGACCATTCCTGTAGATTCTGTTCTGATAAAATGTGAAGAATGACTCATAGTGAGAAGTACTTTACCAGGTTATATCAGGTCAGGATTGAGTTTGTTGTACTTTAATCAGATCAGTCACAGTTGTTTGGGTCTGTCTTTTTAAAGCTCATTTCAGTTGTTTTTATTTACCAAACATTCACTTTTCTTTGGACATTGGAAACATGAAGTATTCCTATCAGCAATTTCAATGTTTGCAACTTAGCTGCTGCAACATGCAGATAATTTCTCGGGAGCGTTAAGCTGCACGCAGCGGTCGGTAGAAGACCTCCCCATCGACAGCTATCATATGTGTGGCTAATGCCATTGCCTTGGATGGATCTCACTGTGCCAGGGCCAGGCCTGGTTTGACAGGACAGAAGACAGAGTATTCAAATACGAAAAGCGAATTTTGGGGAAAATAAGTACTGCCAGCAGTAGTTCAGTGGATCAGAGAATGTAAAATGGCTGCAATTGCGGTGTGCAAGCATTTAAAGTAGCCTGGAGTTGATTATCTGCTGTGTCTCTAAGCAGAGAGCGTAAACACTTGCTGCTGCAGTAACTGAGCTGCTGCCTGCAATTAAAGCTAACTAGTAGTTGCTGACCTGCAGCCTGCTATTACGGGCATCCCTCGCTCCCCAGGCATAGACTGAGCTGCAGCTGTTGTGGAAGTTGCCCTCACACAGATGAGCCAAAAAGGTTTGCATTTTCAAAAGCTTGAGTAGTTACCATTGCAAACTATTCTAGCATTTTTAGATGTCTTTGAGACCCTGAGCCCTGGTGCCAGCCTGTGCTCTTGGGATGGTTTAAGTGTGGGGCTGCGGTGAGAGCAGGCCATGCTGTCAGAAATCTGCAGCAGGACCCCTTCCTACCATTTGTTTGACTTGTTCCCTGGCTCCAAGTTATAAGCTGGCCTCTAAGACTGTTTGGCCAAGAAGGGATTTTCAAAAGCCTTGCATTTATAGTCAGGGTGCTCAAAGTGTTCTGGGTTCAGGTCTTGCCACAGTCACATAGGCTGTACTTATGAAGTTTGCATCAGTGGCTCTTTGGCAAGGGACCTAGCTGTATCACGATCAATTCCAGGAACGTACAACTAGTTCTACCTCTCTCTTCTCATACGCATTCTTACAGGTTTGTGCCTGCCTGGAAGGCTGTCACATGCGTAAGTCATGTCTGTCAATCTGAAAATGTACTTGGGTTTTCATTTTTCAAGTAGGAAAGAAACTCCAAGGAAGAAGTAGCAAAAGATGTGAGCAAGTAAACGTGTGTTTGTGCAGTTACTATACACTTGAGCTTTGGCTGGGTTTGGTTTTGTTATAAGCTTGCAGCATTAGAAATATTTTTGAAGCTCATTTAGTTCACTGATAGTTGAGAGTTTCTGCTAATCTTTGCTGAAGCCTTGATTTTTGACACAGCACTTAATCAGCATGTTACTTCTCGGTGCTACCAGCAGCACACAAAAAGTTGAAATAATTAATCAAGTTATTTGAACAGGTTTCAACAGGATTAAGAATTAACTGGAGTTCACCAAAATTTTCCAGCTGAGGTGCCGGCCAGGGTTTTTCTTCTACTCGGGACAGCAAGTTAACGTGTAACCAGAAAGTTTATCTCATTTTGGCAATGCTCATAACTTAAGCTTAAATGGTGCGTAGACAGGTGTTTCAGTGTAGAAATGGCCACAGGTTTGTGGCAGAAAAGTGTTTTCGGGCTCAATCCTTTAAATGCTTGGATGACTATTCATTCACAAATTTTAAGCAATTCTGGGCTTACATCATTTGTTAAAATTCTCCTTGGGCTGGGACTGATAGTCTAAGGGTAGGCTGGCCTGATAGATGGGGTTTTTACATGTTTTACATACCCTCGAACACCAGTGGAGTTCAGCTCTGAGTCTGAGCCTCACAGCTTAGGCCCATCTCTTGATGAAACTGGAAACACTCCTTGCTTTATGCTGGCAGCCGAAGTGGACAAAATAAATGTTTCAAAATGAAATTTGATGTGTGGTTATGGTCAGAGAAGTGACTGTGAAAAGGCATCTCTTGCTCAATACATGCACTCCCTTTGTATTCTTCAGGCATTTCTACTGAGCTTGGTTCAGGACAAGTAGTTAGTCCTGTCAGTGCTGCAAAACCAGTAACACTGGTGCAAAGAGCTGAAATCCCTCCTGCTGTGTGCATTATCAGCAAAAGTATTTGCTATTTTCTAGTGCAGATTTTGAATAATTGGATGATGGGCCACAAGGGAGAATAACGCAGCTTGATTTTTTCCAACCGAAGAGAGATTTTTGGTCTTGAAATTAGAAAAAATTGACTGAAGAGTATTTAAACTAAGCCGATCTGACCAGAATGACTGAGAGTGAATCTGAACCCCCTTCATGGCATTTTAACATGAGCTTTTAGAGGCCCTCTTAAATAACACAGGCAAGCACTGGTTCCTGGCTTGTTTATGCGGGCACTGTGTCTGCCATTTTTCCTTGACTCATGTTTCTTGCTTGTTTAATGTTGCAGTAATGATTTCCAAGTTGATACATAAATGAAATCACACATGAGAAACTCTGAGGGCTGAGCAATGGAGCAGTAAGGTAACAGAAAGGATGGAGCATATAATTCTAAAAGATTTTTCTGTAGGATGTGTTGATGATTCTTTAAAATTGCTTATTGGAAAAATTCTAGGCTGCAAAACAATAAATCTGATATTCAAGTGTGGTTTTACTTTGAAAAACAACAATGTAAAAATGCCACCTTTGTGCTCAACAGATCTTTTCTTTGTACATATGAATCCAGATACGTCTTCCGTTTACTGCATTGCCAAAAATAGTTTTCTTCCGCCTTTTTAGTCCAGTTACCTTTGAAGAGTCTGTGTAACTCCAAGGACCATTGGTTGGACTCTGTTTCCCGTTTTAAGTCAGGAGCATTGTTATTCCTGCTTTTTAGTTTTAATTTCTGAGAGAAGAGGTGAAAAACATTTAAGCACATGAAGTGCAGATACTTGCCTTGCGGGAATTCCCAAAGAACCTAACCTGTGTAATTCCATCAGAGTCTCCCTCTGTGTTTGTGTGTTTAACTACTTTAGAAAGTCCATCCCATACCAATTGAAGAGTCATTCATATTGAAGCTTGATTAATGATTAATTGTATCAAAGAGAACTAGTTGTGATAAACAGCACTTCTGGTCATTGACCTCCATTGCTTGAAGTGACACATGAGAAGGAAGGATCCCAGCTCAGGTGGTGCATCCTAACCTAAACTGTCTGCCTATGTTACTTCAACAGAATCTAATGTGGGAATCGCTGGCATACAGAAAGCATGACATATGACAGCATTTTCGCAGAGTTTTCCAAAGCAAATCTGCACACTGAATACATACATCATCAAGTACAAATATCTGACTTCTGAAACCTGCCCTGGAGGGGCTGGACGGGAAGGCGGGAATGCAGCAAAACGCCCTTGGAGAAATGAAATTACTGTGGTTTTGTAGCACTCTTGGGCACCTGTTACATGTGAAATTCTAAGAGGAGAGTTAGGTATTTTTGCCTTTCTCCTGGAGATTTAGTGCTTTTTTACACTTGAAAAAAAGCAATTTTTAAACATTTCCGTGTCTTGCGGAACAGCTGGAGTGACACAGAGGATACAGAAAAATAAAAATCAGTCACCAACATTTATCTATGTTTAAAATTACAATTAAAAAAATCACTTGAAGAATAGCTTGTTGATTTCTAACTGTGTTAATGCAGCTTAGCATATAAATTTACAAAAGTAGAATAAGACCCTCATGAAGAAGCAGCTTCATATGATAGCAATATATTTGTGAGTCAGTGGTAAACAAGAAATGTCTTCTCTAACAGAGCTAATTTTTCTTCTTCCCTAGGTGTATATGTATTCATAAGATTACCTTCTTATTTCTTCTAGGCACCAGTAACAGATGTGCAGTTTGGCCCTATGAGACTTCATCAAGATCAACTTCAGGTAATACAACAGTTCAAACTGCAGTCTTAATTTCTAAAACATCACAGAAGTTAGCTTAAAATTTATGACTAGAATTTTTTAAGTATGGAGATCTTCACAGAGCATTTTTGTCAAGTGATAACGTGTACCTGTAAGATTTTTATCACGGCATTCTATGTGATATCCTAAAAATCCTTCCTAACTCTTTTCTCCAAACATCTCTCAGCTCATAAAAGTCGGGCTGTAGTTCTTTCTGCTATCAGTTAGCTTGTAATCAATTTATTGTGTGCCTTGTTTTGTATTTTACCAATAGTCAATTCTTAATCCAAATCTCATCAAAATGATACTAAGCGAAATGTCCTGTCAATGTCTGTTACACTAGCATTGTTGCTAGTATCAACCAAACTTCCACAAAATGGCAAGTATCACCACAAATATATGAAGTGAGCTTGGAAAAGTATGGTTTTTTGTTACTTGTTGTTGACTGGTATTAGTTCATCCTCCTTTATCTCTTTAGTCGTATGTCAGTTTTCCCCTTATTTTGTCTGGGATGAGTGTGAGGTTTGCAGACATGTGACGCCTTTGGACTTCCTCTAAAAATTCTCCTGTAAACCAAGGCATACTGAACCATTAATAATCCAAGATGTTCCTCAGTCAGAAATTAGAAAACTCCAGAGTGAAAGTCATCCAGACCCTATAATTTGAGAATGTCTGTCTTCAAGAGCTGCAGTTCAACATCTTCCTCAGCTATTGTCAGAACAGACAGTGTTATCCTTGAACATCAGATCTTAGGCCAGCTTCATCCAGCTGTTCCCCAAATGTAAATCAGAAACATTCCCCAAACACTTCTGCCTCCTTTATTGTTATTAATAATTGTATTGCTTTTCTCCAGTCATGGGCCACTCTAAAATTCTACGAATTTATCCTGGTAATATAGCTAGCAGATAGGAGGGAAGGAGAAGTTAGACAAGAGATCAGATCTGCTGACTTTCTGTGCTATTGCTGAAAACCATTCTTCCACTCTTAAGAGTGTTATAAATGAACTTCACTAAATACATCCCAAACTATGACATGTTTTTGCAGACCGTATTGGAGGTTGCTATAAAAGGAATCTGGACTAAATGGGTACAAAGTCCTTAATTCTTACAAAAATATGCACTACATGGAAATATTAAGATTTACTGGTAGACATTCCACCAACCTGATCCAAAGTGTAACCAGCACTAGCATTCCTAAAATCACCCAGAAGATAAACGGCAGTGGGATGTGGTGTGAGTTGCACATGCTCCACATTGTTGTCCGACCAAAGCATATATCTAAATGTGGTTTGATTAAATTACTGAAAGATTGGTGTCTTGGGACAACAGACCAAATGCTGGTTTAGTTATCCATCTTTCCTAAAAAGCTGCATATACTGAGTCATCCAAAAAATCAACACTGACAGAGATCTATAGTCTGCCATTCTGAGTATTCTTTCAGACAAAAGTTTTCTTCTACAAAATATTATCCTGATGCAAAGCACAATCACATCAGTGAGAGTCTTCCTCAGCAGGCTTTATCTTCTGTACCGTGTTCAATCCTAGGATTTGCAGCACATTTTAGAAGGAATTGGGCTTTATCATACTTCAAGTATGTAGGGATTGTATTGATTTTAAAAAGACTCAGAGAGATTAATGTTATTGACAATTAAACAGCAAGTTAGGACAGAGCAAATACTGGCTTATAGATCTGACTTCCAGTTTTGGATTTCAACCACAGTAATCTCCTTCTGTGATATAAATCCACTGGCAAGCTTTGCGTAGGAGTCACGTGGGGACGTACTCCATATGCAGAGGTACTGCTTATAATTTCAGTCTTGCATGAGTTCATCTTGACCAACCTGTCTGTAGTTTCCAGAAACCCTGCAGACAGGTCTGTATCCAGTGCTTTGGGGAACTAGAACGAGATGAAAAGGAAAGCACGTTTTTCATCATGCCATTGAAGGACCATTAAATATTAATTCACATGTGGTGAACCATGTCATTCTTTTTTTCTAGAATATGATTCCGACAAGAAAAATAAAACCCAAGAAAACAGTTGTATGTGAGACAATTTCAGTAAAGAAAAATAAACTGGCTGTTATTTCATGTACGCTATCTGAAACATAGGCATCTAGTCTCAACTGATTGATCTCTCTTTTGTAGCTAATGACAAGAGCTTCCCAAACTTGTTCATTCCATGTGGATATAAATGGCTCTGGCAGACTATTTTATCCACTTGAAACACCTCTGTATACAGACAATTATAACAAGCAATAGTCTGTAGAAAGCAATTATGTTAAAAATAATGGATTAAACCTTGAAAGTGGCTTTAAAAATCATGTTAACAACAGGCAAAAATCACAGAATCTGCTGTATATGTAAGACTTGTTTGTCATGATTCACTGTCTGTCTTTAACCCAGGTACTTTTAGTGTTTGCCAAAGAAGATAACCAGAGTAACGGGTTCTGTTGGGCATGTGAGAAAGCTGGATTTCGATGTAATATTGCCAGGACACCTGAGTCTGCACTAGAATGCTTTCTTGATAAACACCATGACATTATCATTATTGACCATAGACATTCCAGATACTTCGATGCAGAAGCATTGTGCAGGTAAGCACCATTTCAGTGTAATTAATGGTTAAGTATGCAGTTAACATGTCATCAACTTTTTTTTTGCTTTTATTTGACCCTTTTATAAAAATCTATCAAATATTGATATCTTTTTGGACAGATGTCCACTGATAGCATCAAATAATGTTACCTCAGTGCTTTACATCTGATAGCAGCAGCAGCAGCATTTTTTGTTGTGTGCTAGGATATCTGAATCTCGATCTGGCTTGAAGCCACAGTGTACAAATTTCTTGCCATAGTGAACTGTTTTGTGGTTGTTTTTTTTTTTTTCAAATACCTGGTTCCTTGTTTGGACATTAAGTAAACTGCAAAGATTGCATGTGCTACCAAGCAATTTGATGAATACATTCACTTCATTAGTGTTCTGAATTTTTTGAAATGTCACTTGCTGTTGAGTAACTCCAGATGCAAGTAGGCAATGTTTTGTGTGCATGTTTCCATACCTACAACATTTTAAAATGTCTTATGAAGAGCAAAGTTGCAAACAGATTCCAAAAATACTTTCACAAACTGCTATGAAGTATGAAAAAAGGGGGAAAGGATTTGCCTTTCTGAGTCTTTCGACAGGCAGTGATGCCTTGCTTCAGTGACTTTCCAGTGAAATACCCCTTGGGAATGTGTCTAGACTAAGTTACCAGTCTGTGGGGTGGGGGTGATGGGGTCAGATTAAGTACCCTGGGTGAGCGTGGTGGGTTCAGGGCACCGGAACAAAGGCTCTTCTCCTTGCTAAACTAAAGTAACTAGATAAGATCTTTGTCAGGCAAAGACTAGATACCAGCGCTGTTCCCCTTGTTACATTTTTACCATTCTGTCCCAGAATGAAGTAAAAGGCTCCTTAAATGAGCGAGGCCAAGTCTTCCAAACAAGTCCATTAGGTGCCGTTTCAGAAGGGAGATTAATCTACATTCTCTGTGTCTTTTTTTTGTGAGTCTCAGACGCTGCTGAATTTATTCTCCTTTCTTAGTGGTTC